GTGCTTCCCTGACTACAGTTCATCACATAAAGCCATCAATTGTTTAGTTCTTTTTGAAGTTCTAATGATTCAAGAATAAAAATTACCTTTTTTGTTTCTAGATGTCATTTGCTCTCTGGTAATTAAAAAATAACTTGACCACATATGTTTTCCTCTATTGTTTTTCTTTTTTTCTTCTTCCTTTTTTTTAATTTTCCCAAGTCATCATTGGTAGGTGTGAGACTTAAAAACTTACACAGGTTCATAATTGTATCTGTTTTCATATATGAAACCAGCAAAAACGGTGAAATAAACCAACATAGAGTATTTTATGCCCATACACACTTATGAATATATGCAGTAGATTAAAAAAATAAACCTTATTCAATTGCTGAAGTTCCTTAGATCTGTAAATGCAAAAAAATTGGCATATTTGATGTAATTGTGTAAATCCAACTTCAAAAAAAATGTTCTTAAAGTTTTTGTAACAGGGTTTGATTTTGTTTTCCTTCAGCATTTTTGAACTGAAGTGGCAGATATTAAAGTTTGAAGAGAAAGAGGGAGTTAATATACATAAACTCATTGAGAGTTTTTGCTGCTAAAAGACAAAATCTCTTCCAGCAGTAACTACCTCTCTGCCAGAGAAACTTCGTGTATGGCTAAACCTTCTGTCTTTTACATATGCTTTTACACTGGATAAAAGAAAAAAAAAATCAAAAACACCCTACATAGTCAGCGGCCTGAAGTGACTCCAATTCCAGAGGTGCTGACAGAAAATTCAGCACCATTAACTGTGGGAAGCCACATCTTAGAGTGGTTTGGTGCTCATTACCTTAATTCTTTGATTTGCATGGGAAAGCTGCCTCCCCTGCCTCTTGCAGTGCTTTTATTTATCACAAAGGCATCATATCCCAATTTAGTGTCAGCAAGGGGGACTGATGGCTCATGATCTGCTTCATGTACAGCTGAAGGTCTCACACCTTTGACATTTTGGCATTGTGCTCCTCTGTGCTTAGCATGGAGGTTCCTACACAGGAGACTTGAGGGAACTGTATGCTGAGAGGCCAGAAATCTTATAGGTGTTTCACAGTGCACAAGACAGGAAAAACTGTAGTCTTTATGGTGATGTTTACCTTTTTCCCAGTAAGAAAAAGTTTTCCTGCTCCACAACACACATTCTTATGCTTATATATGCACAGCCTCTTCCCTATATGTGCCCAGTGCCCACAAGCTGCTGTTGAAGCCTGTTATTCCTCCCAGGCTGCAGAACTGTTGCTCCCATCCTTCAATCCAGTGCCTCAATTAAACCTCTCACCTCTGAGAAGTATCTCCCTTTCCTTCCCCTCCTTTCCATGCTATTTTGTGCTATTTATGTCTCAAAAAAAAAAAAAAAAGTGACACAGGTCCATCAAGGAATTTCTTTCTCATTCCCAGTCATTTTTTCACTAATATTTCCAGATGCTGGGGCATGGAGTGTTCACCTTGTTTCCTCTGCCATTTCAAGTTTTACTGACTATATATGAGATGAAAGTTGCACAGCACACTCTTGGAGTTAATAGACATTTTTTTACCCCTTGATCAAACCCAAATACTTTTTTTGCCAGATAAAATGTATCACCAGGCAAATTCTCTGAGGAAGTTTCCATGCAAGGGTATGCACCCCCCAGAGCTGGCCCTCTGTAACACACAGACCAGGCACTTCCCCAGCAAGGAATGTTTTCACCACTGTTCTCCAACACTAACGAAGGCCTGAAACAGGATTTATCTGCCCTCATTTTTTCTGTCTGGAAGTGCAAAGCCAGAGCTTGTCACCCTAAGCTTCCTATTTTTAAGTAATTTGCCATTCTCATTTCCTTGTGACCCACTGGGTCACCTTTCTCCAGTGGTGTGCTGTACACAGCAGTGTCTGAAGAATAAGATCTCCGGGGGAGAGGCAACCCTTTAGTTTGGGGTTTAAGCTCCTAAATGCTGTTCAATGCTATTCTGAACTCTCAAGAAAGGAACAGAAGATTCCTGGGCCATTTTGAGTTTTCATTCTGGTTCCTCCATCATGACAGCCAGCCAACAAGCAGAGGTCATTCTGCACAAAGGAACTATTCCTACCAAAAAGCTGGTAGGAATATGACAGAAACCATGTGCTTGTGTTAAGGTTATGTGCTCAAAGCGCACGTAACATGAGTTTGGAATTTGCAAAACTCAGAAAATTCCACAGTTGTGCATTACTGACATGTCACCTCTTCTTTGCTCTGACTGCTATAATCTGATGATAGTGAAATGTGTGAAAAAGACCATCTACTAATACCAGATTTTACACTGCTTGCCACAGCAAAAAGTGAGCTGTTCAAGAGGTTCCTGCAGCAAGGCTGATTTTCCATCTAGAGCACAAATTAATGGCTATGAATTGGGAAGCTGCCATTCCAAACGGGGTCCAGAGGTTTAGACATCATAAGCCAAATTACCTGAGTTTAGTGATTTGAGGGATTTGGATTTTAAGACGCTTTCCTGCTTTTTTAACACTTGTAATCAAATGGTTGGTTTCATGGAGTTGATTAAAATGGAAATCTTTAGTCTTTCTATTCCTAATGTTTTCTTCTACCTCAATATCCAGTCAATTTGTCAGTTTATGCACCTGCCTAAATTCCTCCCAAAGATAATATATATTTATTCTGTGTTTGTCAAGCTAAAAATTGCATGTGGTTAATCAGTTGTGCCATTCATCTTTCCTTACAGAAGCACATCACATATCGTACCTGTCAGATATCCTATAAAAGATTTTTTTTTTTTAACTGAGTAATAGCCATAAATCTTCAGGTACTTCCTTGCCAAATCATTAAGTTACAACATGTCTAATACTAGTAAAACCCCATTTCGGAATGTGTTTGAGAGAGACCATCAGAGCTCAGGAAGAGAGTAATTTCCAGCAATGGGCTAGCAGCAGGCAGGGTTCTGTTCCCACCAATGGGGCAGCCAGGTGCATCTGCATCCTCTTACCATATACTCTCAACTCCCACCAAGACTCCCTGTGCTGGGTTTGGCTGGGATACAGATAATTTTCTTAATAGTAGCTAGTATGGGGCTGTGGTTTGGATTTGTGACCAAAAAGGTGTTGATAATTCAGGGATGCTTTCATCATGGCTCAGCAGCGCTTCCACAGCACCTTTTCTGCCTCTTACCCCATCCCACCAGTGAGTGGGCTGGGTGTACACAAGGAGCCAGGACAGCTGATCCCAACCGACCTGAGGGACATCCCACACCATATGTGTCATGCTCAGCATATAAAGCTGGGGGAAGAAGGAGGAAGGGTGGCACATTCAAAAAGTGATGGCGTTTGTGTTCCCAACTCACCATTATGTGTGATGTAGCCCTGCTTTCCTGGGGATGGCTGGATACCTGCCTGCCTGTGGGAAGTGGGGAATGAATTCCTTGTACTGCATTGCTGATGTGCATGGCTTTTGCTTTACCTATTAGACTGTTTTTGTCTCAACCCATTAGTTTTCTCACTTTTACCCTTCTGATTCTCTTCCGTAGCCAATGGGTGGAGTGAACGGCTGTGTGAGGCTTGACTGTCAGCTGGAGTTAAATCACGACACTTCTACCCTTGTGCTTTCACTTACCTCTCCACCTTCTTCCCATATCTCACATCTGGGTCCTCCCTGGCACCCCTACCTCACCTCCTAATACAGATGTTATCGTATCAAAATCACACTCACCCTGCCCTCACCCACTCCCGCTGTCTCAGGACAGGTTGGGTTACTGCAGCCAAGTGGGGTGAGCAGCTGTACAACAGACCCACCACTTTGCATGCAGAGAGCTCGGGGAGATACCTCCTTCTAGACTGCTACCACTCACCAGGAGCTCTGTGAGGTGGTGATTATGCCCTGGCTCCTCCAAGCTCTTGCACTTTAGGAAAGGTGGTAGCTGTTCATGACCTATCGTCCTTTGAAGCGACCAGCAGATCACCAATGATACACAGTTCAGCAGCATCTGAACAAAATAATTGCTATTTATGTACACAAAAATAAATGCTCGGGGACTTTCATGTCAACTCCTCCTTTCAAATCAAGCAGGGAAAATATTACAATTACTTTTCATGACAAGGACTTCTAAAAGAACAGAACATGGGCAGGATTTTGGGTTTAGATGCATTAGGTTTCTCGAGGGAACTGCTCAGCTTTGTCTGGTTTTTTGTTTGTTTGGGTTTTTGGTTTGATCTTTTTTAAAGCTTTTTCTCCTGATCTTCTCCAGATTCTCTGAGGGGGTGTGGAAGTAATTTAGTCATTCGGAGAGAACCCTTTTTTTTTTCTTTTTCTCACTTTCTTTGCCCCCTAAAGGAGAAAGTGGTTTTCTGGGGGGTTGCCTCTGCATTACAGTGCTGGTGCGGGGCTGTTCCTCCTCCTCCTGGCATAAGGATGGCTAAGCCATTAACATGCACATGGCATGCAAAGGAACAGGTACCTCTAGGGTGTCACACACACATACACACATGATTTTTTTCAATTAGCAAACTACAGGTTCTTTGTCAATGAAATCTACAGAATTAACTCTTATCAGTGCTGACCACACACAGCAATATCAACCCTTGAATCACTTTGAAGCCAAAGGATATGAAAAGGTGAGATGCACTTTTTACTTGATCTACAAATTGTCCCATGTTTTCTTCTCAGGTGAACTGAAACTCAATAAAAAAAATACACAGATATAGGATTTCCTGTACCTACTGGTTAAGTAAGCCTAGTAAGTCCTGCATGGGATGTCTTAACAGACGAAAACTGGAGCACAAATGAACAACAGCAGGTCTTAAATCAAAGGTTCTGATCTCTCCTCAAATGATCAGCATTCCCTCCCTTTGTTGGCAAGGCTAGCTGGAAGAAGAAATTGCTTTACTGGAGCTGGGCTTATTGTTTGAACATAATAATCATCACTGAAAGACTTCACGTTGAGCTTGCAGATGACTGTAAGTCAAAACCAGATGATTTAAAGTCAAAACCAAATGAAATGCACAGAAATGGCAGAACACTTACATTCCTTGGTGTTAGGAGGTGCCAACAAGCATGAGTAGCAAACCATCCCGTAGATGTTGCGAGGTCTGTTTTCCAGCATGTAGTAACTGCAATGAAGGGCAAGATGAGGCAAAACAGTGTAAATTAATATGCTACAACTGAGCATGGTTCAGCAGCAACCAATTACACAGAGATAAAATCATTAAAAAAAAAAACTTTTATAAGCAATGTGATACAAAGATTCTTCTTTTTTTTTTTTAATTGTCCGAATAGAGACAATTCTTCCTTTCCTCCTAAAAGGTAATTAATCAAACACTGAGACATGACAAGAAGTGGTAACACTGCCCAAAACAACATTATTCTCCCTGCTGAATTCAAGCTGCAATTTACAGCATGCCCTGAAAAGAGATTTTTCAAAATATGGGAATGCTATTTTTTGAAACAGTAATCTTTCAAGCAAGACCACCAGTTGGATATGGTTGGCTGATTTTATTCACAAACACCATATGAATAATCTCGATAACGTCAGAACCAAACCTGAGCCAAATCATAATAAAAAATACAGGAAAACACCACTCTTACAAGGCAAAGCAGATTAGCTTTTGTAGGTTTGGTTTGGGATTTTTTACCTCCTTGCTGTATTGTTTATAAGTTAGTCCTTGATAGTGGAATTACAGTGTGAAGGAATTTGAACTTCATGATTTGAACTTCTGGGCTAATAATAAAGTTAATGTTGGAATAAAGTAATTGGTTATGCAATGCATAACCAATGCACCTTAATGAGTAAATTACATCAAAATCATACATATATTGATGTAACATCACACAGTTGATGTTATGGATATGTCTTTACAAATCACTTGTAAATCACTACAGATCTTAATGAAGAGATGAATAAATTCATAATCCATTCTGTGTAGACAGGTGCTCAACATTACAAACACTTTATACAATGGGGAATCTGTTTCCTGCTCTTATGTACCTGTCTATGCACGTGCAGTATGGTTTTGTTTTGGGTTTTTTTCTGGAAATGTATGTATTGTTAGGAAATCACTGCTGAAACTTCATCAAAATCAGTTGGTGTACTAATTAATGGTCCAGCCTACAAATAAGGGATATAGCACCAGGAAATGGAGTACACAGAGATGCAAGGGGGAGACAGGGACTCAGAGGAGGAACCTCAGAGAGCCGGTGAACTGAACATGGTTCATTTCTTATTGGTTTTAAAAGATGCACGCTCACTCCTCCCTACAAATGTCTCTTGTGCCCCATCTGCCACTCTACCCTTCTCTCAGGAGCAAAACTTCATCTTTCTTCTCTTATGGGGGCCTATGTAATATCAGGTTGTAAAGCAGCTAATGAATAAGCAGGGAAAGATTGCCAAACCACAAAACAAAAGAGTGGAAGGCCAAAGATACATATAAATATATGAAGAAAAATACAGGACAGTTAGGATCCATAGTCTAATAACTGTGGTGGTTTAGGAAAGACAAACAATCCTTCTGACAGTTAATTAAATCAAGCTGGTGGAATAATTCTTGGTTTTTGACACAATGCAGAATGGTGGAGCACATACAAAGAAAACTGAAGAGGATGATCATGGCAGGCAACTGTTGACCCATTTGAGTAGGAAACTCTGCAGCTGCAAACATTAGTGATTCACCCCCATGAAGTACTGGCAACAGACTTGTGTTTCAGGTTACTTTCCAATGCACCAGATATTTAAGGCAAGGTTGGAAATATCTGATCCCTTTATGTCAATAACTATGGAGAAGAAGTGGCCCAGTAATGAAATAATGAATTTTCACAGTATTAGTCTTCCACCATGAGACTCATTCTTTCTTTCCTTGGCACCTGCCAGGCTCAGGTCTGAAAGTGTTACAGACAAAATCTGAGATTAAAAGCTAGACTGAAATATGGACTTATTTTCCTGCTTAACACCTTGGTGGTTTATCTTGGGCTAACCTTGGTGGTGCCATGTCACACTCAGGGACTTGGACCCAGGTTAGGTCTGCTGTCCTGAAGGGACCAGGGCACCTGGGACTGGGGCAGGAGGTGGAGGGGGGCAGGGTAGTGCCATTCTCTGCAGGGGACAGTCTGCAGAAAGACAGCAAGAAGTTGGTGAGCACATGGGTGGAGGCACCTGCTGCCTTATTCAGAATGGGGTAGGGGTGTGTGTGTGGGGGGTCTTTATTTTATTAAAATTCACCGGCTAAACCTTTTCATCCAGAAAACAAATGAGAGTTCACTGCTTCCCTTAAAATGTCTCAGAGAAGAGAACTGAATGTGGATTTGCTGGATCTATGGAACACATGAAAAGGGGAAGCCTCAGTAGGAGAGGCATTTCCAACTACATTTAAAAAGAAAATTATCCCATTGCAATTCTACATTGTGAGGAGACTGGGGACTTAATTCAAGATGAAAATAGGTGCTGGGGCAGCATAAGGGATATGTATCTTATATACTTGGCCTGTTCTTACTCCTCCATGGGTTTCCACTAATGGCCACTACTGAAAGAAGACATATGACCAGGCTAGAGGGACCCTTGCTCTTACCCACTGTGGCTGCTTGTAGTTAGCTGTGATCTCAATTACTCTCCAGGAACACCTAATGGATCACCCCACTGAAGGAAATAGTCTGACTCACACCTAATTTCCACATTCTTGACCTGTCCTATTTGGCATGATGGAAGAGCTTCTGGGCAGGAGCAGAGAACAAAGCCTGCAGTGTCCCAGGAGGTTCAGTCTAGGTACCTCTAGAGTTCACTGGCAACTGGACTTTGGTTTTGAGGATCACAGCTTCAAAGCTAAGCCTTTAAAATCTTTCCTGGCCACAATCTTGCATCCTTCTTGTATGTGTGACAGTGTTATTTTTATTTTATATTGGAGGGAAGACAGAGAGGCAGTGGATGACCCCTTCTCTTGTACCAAAGGTCTCTTTCTTCCCTAAAATTGATAATAAGAGTGAAAAAAAATAGAAGGAAAATGTATAATTTTCCAGCGCTTATTTTAAGATGAAGTATAAAGGACAACACTTGTAGCCACTGGAAAAGGCTGCGAGTTCAGTGGGTTTTTGTCTGAAAACTTCCGCTCAGAATGTGCCATATGTTCATCTTTTCCTCGCACTGCTTTACTGAGCTGGTGAAAAATAGCAAAGGGATGAGATGTCCCTAAATGGAGATGTGAGCTGTTACTTCGGGAAGATCAGCAGCATGTTATGGAAGCAGTCCTCTGAAAATGGAAATCTTATTTTTTCCCCTTATATTGACTGAGGGGGCTCTTTTAGGTTTACTGCCTAGGCAAGGGAGCACTCTGACAGCTGCCACTCACCCTGGTGCCTGGCTGTCCCTGTGACACCGGGGGCAATAACGAGATCAGCCTGAGCTACTCACCAGCTCTCTGCTCTGACACAGGGGGTCTGCATTTCCCCCACCCTCGCAAAGGAGCAAACTCTGAGGACTCAAAGTAGCACGAGGAGTCAGGGCAGCTTCAGAGCTGGTTTTAGCCCATGTTTAGTTTATCTTGAGAGTTCCATCTATTCAAGCTTGGACTAAGAGGGTGTTTCTTCTTAACTGCTGGTTTTGCCAAACAATCCTGGGACCTGAGAGTTGCACAGGAGTGGCACACAGCCAAATTCCGGCAGGCCAGTTTCTGCTACAGGCTACACCTGTGCAAACAAGATGTTTTGAGAGTTCTCCCCAAGCACCAGCTGTGCAAGCTGATTATTTTCAGCCAGCACCCTACTCCCACCCGGGTGACCTCATCAGTCCTGACAAAAATTGCAAAATAGCAACTGTGGCCACTATTTAAGTTTCTTGCTCTTTATAATGTATGAGGGGAAGTCAAGAGGGAGCTCTTTTCAAATCACATCATCAGTCTGTTTGGCTGGCAGCTAGACAAGTCCTTCATTTTATTTGTAAACTGTGAAAACTTCACACAGACTCACTGATATAATAAACCTGGAAGCCTGCAGGGCCTCTTTAACAGGGTTCTCTGAGCTATAAGCAGTGTAGGTTATACAGTATCTGCAAACTGCACAAAAGCCAAAAGTCAACAGAATTACTCTTTAAACCAAAGTGGCACAGTGGCAGAAACTGAAAAGGTATGTAAGGTGATGTTGTGTTTTAGAGTATTTACTCACCCTACAAAAAAAATGTTGAGGGTGCATAGGTATGCTTTGGTTTGCAGACTTTCACATGTAATACAGACGAGAATATACTGCTAACATATCCAATGTAGCAATATCTTTCTCACTATTACTATCATTATATTATTATACTGAGCATAAGAGACCATTACAAAGATGGACTTGGAAAACATTATTTATTTTAAACCCCTTCAGCCAGCCCTGAAACTTGTTTTGACTCTGAACAACAGCAACTCCCCCACACATTAGCAGCTCCTTAGACCCCTTTCTGTTGGCTAGAAAGGACCCTAAGAGACTAAAATGCCTTGGTAAATCTCACCTAACAGATATGTTAGCTAATGCTGTCAACTACTGACAAATGTTCCAGCTGCTCACATCTGGAGAAGAGATATTTTATGCTCCCAAACATGCCACAGTGCCTCCATAGACCCTACAGGGTATCCAAGGCATTTTCATGCAGTTCATTTGTAGGATGCAGGATGTAGGACTTAGCAGATGGCCCTCTGAAGCTACGGATGGAGTCTGAGCTGGATTTCTTAGAGCATTTAAAATGGCACTGCACACATATGCTTGTTCCCTTTCCACTTCTGGCAAGAGAAAAAAGTTTTCTAGTTGGTCCAAACAACTACTTCTTCAGTGAGGTTTCAGTAAGATTAACGACATCTTCTTTAGGGTCCCTTCCAACCCTAACTATTCTATGATTCTATGATTTATTAAACTCATCAATGCTTTTGAAACATTTAAATGTATTGGTTTAGCAGAGACAAAAAAGCATAATTCACCATAATTTCCCCTACAGTCAGCTAGGACATGAAGAAAGGCTGTCAGAGACTTTAACATCAAGGAAGTATTTTCCAGTGCCTTGGGTAGAGCAAAGGTCTGTGGAAAAGTCCTTACCCTGGGAGACAAGGACCACATTCTGCATCATTCTCCTGATCACCAGGTGTCATGACTGTGGCTCGAAAAAAACCCTCACAGTCTTTGTGCCGTCTGCATATCTGGTAACCTCCTCTGGAAAACTTCTCTGAAGGGCAGGGGATGCAGCCATAGTCCTCGTCTTTGGTGCCATATCCACATGTCTGCAACAACACAAAGCCACTGAAAAGCAGTCTTGTGCTGCACACCAACTTCTAGCAAAAGAGAATGTTCAGAGCCTGGTTCATTGGCTTTGCAGCACAAAGGGAGAGAAGTCTGCTGTTTGGCCCATTAATGTCTGTCCTAAAAAGGCCATGCAGGGCTATAAGGATGCAGCATGCTGTGTGCTGGAGAGGGAGAACTGGAGCATCATACTCCTTGTAAGTGGCCCCCCATAGCTACTTCTATCATAGTCCAGCAAATCGTGGAAGTGACTTTCAGCTGCTACTTAGATAGAAAGCGAACTGAAAATGGAAGAGTAGAGGAGACTACTACAGGAGAAACACAGCTGCAGCAGGGCTATCAGCAGCTTTCATGCTAGGAGAGCCCAGAGGGAACATCACAAAAGGCAATGTTTGGATGGGATTTTGTAACCTCTGAACTCACATGTCTCAGCTGAACATTATGTTTAGATTAAATAAAACTAAACCCAACTGGTTATTATTCAAACGTCCTTGTTCAGGACTACCAACTGTGTGAAATGTTTGCACTAGGATGTTTATCCCATTAAAACCAAACAGGATTTCAATAATTTAGTTTTTTTAATAAGCAACAATTATCTGTTGTAAATCAAATGGTTACTTAGGAACCATAATTTAAAATGTCGCAGAAACATCCAAGTTCCTCTAGTGCCAAAATATCTCAGTGGGAGTGCAAAACTAAATTGTTGGTGTGGGGGGCCAGCAAGCACGCCAGACTAACCGATTTATCACACTATGCCAGAACAGCAGCATCAGATTTTAAACAACTGTTGAGAAGAGAACAGACTGGCAGAGTACTCTGTGTGGAACTTTTACCTTTCAACTTTTACAGTATCACTTTTAACAGGCTGCTCCTGAGATGTGGATTAGTGGCATGCATGCATGATGCCTTTCTCCCACTTCACACTTGCACGTGTGAGCGCTCCTGCTTAAGCACCCCTGTCCTTCCCCATTTTCTTTCCTATCCATATATTACCACCAGGTAGCAAAGCATTTGTTTTTCACATTTGGTGCCTGATATGTCCCCCACCAGCAGAGGAAGCTGAAATTACCATGTAAGGTTCTTCACCCGGCTCGCACTTGGGGCAGTCATGGCACATGCCAGTGGTCTGGTTGTAGTATTCATTCTCGCCGCAGTTGGAGTATTCAGCACTGGCAGAGTACACCAAGGAGACCTGTCACCAGAGAGCATCCCAGAGCACTGTCACTTCCACGGCTTTCCTTATCCATGCTTCACCCCCTCCCCTTGCCCAGCTGCTCAGCAGACAGCAGGGCCAGCATTGCAGTGTGAAACACCCCTAAAGCTCAGAAGCAGAAGTGGTAATACTACGTGGAATGGAAGAAGATGCATTTTTCAGCAACCTGGTCCTTCTAAGAGCTTCTCAGAGCGCTGATGTTCATGCTTGTTGGCACAGCCACTCATTAAAATACTGAAAGCTGTGGTTCCTGACCTATTAACTCTCATGCTCTCTTGCACAAGGAAATGTCTGAGTTTGTACCCTCATGCTTCCCAGCTCTAATGAGCCTTCATAAAAGTGACTGCAATGGACAACTATATCAACCCAAGATAATGCACTGCCTTGGGCCTCAGCCATGATAAGGCTGTGCTTCATGTGACACACAGGCTAATCAGTGCTTCCATCGCCTTCTGTCTCTGCTCCATCCTGAGTCCTCCTCTTTCCCCCTCCTCTCTAGCAGCCACAGTTCAAGCAGCATATGCCCAAGTGTTTTATTAAATGAAAACTGATCGCTGCATCAGGCTTCAGTCCCTAGGTCGTCTGTGGTTCTGCCATGACGATTCACAGATGGTTGTGAAGAACGCAAGCAGCACCCTGTTATATTTGCACACCAGAGAGACATGTACATAAATAAATACCTACCACCAGGAAAGGGAACACGTGAGTCCATTTACGTTCACTCAGGTGAGCCATGCTCTCTTGATGTTTTACCTGAAAAGATAGAATTGGTGATTGTTTACGAACACAAGTAAATATTTGTGTGTGTTGCCAAAATAAGAACAGAAGGGCTCATAAGCAGAACAAAGGTTACATGGGAGTGATGCCCAGAGATCTAAACAGAGGGGGAGATGTGCACGTGCGCACACACACACATGCTACACATCCTTACTGCACATCTCTTTCCTCTCTTTGAGAAGACCAATGGCATGAGGGATTTGCCATATTGACAAAAATCTGTGAAAGATGAAGAGCCAAGTCTGAGTTCTGACAGTTCTTGGCTTGCTGAGAAATCCTCCCAGAGGAACTGAGAACTACATCTTGATAACTAAATGAAAGAGGGTTGGGGATCAGTAGCCTGCCTTATGTCCACACCACTTAGTGCTTGACCACACTAGATCAGGTTTGCCTAGGAAAGATCTGGATGGAGGAGCCAAAGCAGAGCCAGGGAGTGAAACGATGGCAAGCAGTGTAGGCAATCAGCACACCAGGGCTGCACTTTCCTTGATGGCTCCTGTGGATCCACTGAGAAAGCCCAGAAGTGCCTTCTGTGGGAAGCATCAGCTGCTTTTTGTTCTTGATAAGCAAACTGCAGATTTAATAAGTTAAACACAATGAAGGAGTCAAACTATATTTGAATTGCCATTAAAATGGTTGGGGAAAAGAAAGGCTGCAATCAATGTTACAAACACACATTTTAACTTATTTAGTTTCTTAAAATGAGTAATTTTGAATAAGAGCTAATATTACATATTCATGTACTGGATATCTTTATAAGGTGAAAAAAGAGACTGGAAAAGGAGGCACAGATTTTTTTGTTAGCCTGATACAACATATTTAATGATACTGTTACAGCACATAATATGCCCTAGGGATTTTAGAGCTTCAAATTGCAAATGTTTGAGATACACTTTGGTCCTAGCAGATGTAAACCACTCTTTCAATTTTCCAGGTCTCAGACACTGGGAGACTTTTAGTCTCCCACGAGAGTACAATTACTGCTTTGTGCCACATTTGAGTATACAACCTACATGAGAGCAGTGCTTCAGTATTTGTGATAGCTGCTAACATTTACATTTTTAAACACTAAGTAGATTAAGCAAAGATTATATCGCTCCAGCATCAAGCCATGAACTTGCTTTATACGCTCCTTCCAGCAATTGGGCTAGCTGAGACAGGTAACTGGGTGGGTGGGTGGACAACATGAATTATGAGTATATTCATTTCTGCAGGAAATTGCACTTTGAAACCTAGAAACAAAAGAGAATCAGAGATAAATTGTCCTAAATCTGGAGGTAAGAGATGGAAAATAGTCATGCAATTGTACAAAGTGTCAAACATGTAAGTTGGATGAAGGCTTTGTCTATGGTAGTGCAGTTGCTTGGAAAGGTTCCAAGGATATAGTCTTAATGCATATGTCTGTTAAACTGTATCCTAATTATAAAAGAGTTTGTTAGACCATAGATATTAATATTATTAAGGCTGTGTCCCCACTGATACTGAAAAATTATCATATTTATTATAAATCTGGTCTGAGGCTGCTCAGAACCAAAAATTTCAACACTAAATCTTGAATCTGTAACTTTACAGTAAGAATATGTTTTACAGCAAAACCACACTCCAGTTGTTTTCAAGCCCCCCAGATGTTTGCTGTTTGAGGTACTTGAGTGCAATCATAGCCAGATTTGAAAAATGGAACTGAAGAAGTGTAGCCCACTAACGTATAATACAGTATTCTCCATTTGGCATTTATTTACACAAAATGTTGAAAATGTCAAGTTATACATAGATAAATAAAATATTTTTCTGCCTCTTAATATAAATATGCATGTGGGATATGTTTTGCATGTAAACATTTTTTTTTCTTTGCATTCCATCATTATATGCAGCAATATGTCAAGCATATGGGAAATACTTTTTTAACTGGAAAAAGCCATTTCAAAGTGCTAAACATGGCCAAACTGGAACTACAGGGGAGACTTTTTCTCCAAATTGGAATACAAAAAAAAGTTAAATTTAAGTATTCATTCTCCTATTCAAGTACACTGGCATAAATTGGCTGTGCTATTTTCTGCTGGTTTCTTTTTGGTTTTGTTTATTTGTTTGTTCTAGTTTGTTTGTTTGGGGGGGATTGTGGTTTTGTTTTGTTTTTTCCTCCTTTGGAGTTAAAGCTCAAAAAACTTACTTTCATTTTATAACACAGGAGGTGGGGGAAGGTAGATGGGTAGTTACTCAGCTTGGTGATACCTGAAGGTATCTGCCAAGAAATGCGAGGCTGCTCGTGGGCTTGTTTTCAGTTTTCAGGCATGTTAAGTTATATCTGCACCATGCTATTTGTCACTCATTAATCCTATCCACACAACAATGGATCTTCTAGTGCCAAGATCCCCTTTTTGTCTAGCTGACATCTATGAAGACATGGACAACCAGACAGCTTCTGACAAAAAGCAGGAAGAAGAGTGACCAGTTATTATAGCCCCTAACCATTAAAAGAAATTAGTTCTTAATTAATTATTCCACTTTGACTGAAGCAAATGACCGTGGGATGGCTCTCCTGCGGGATGGCATGAAGCAGGGAGCGGGAAGGAGCTGGACATGTATTTTTTGCTGGGACTATGCTATCACTTCTAAGGAATTTGGGATCTCTGGCAGCTTGTCTGCTGAGCCCTCCACAGATCCTGATTTGTGTTTTCGTTTGGGACGTGTGGGTGTCTCCTGAGAGGAGGTGTAAAACACAGACCTGTATCTTTGTGGATCAGGTGTGCAACACACAGCAAGCCTCGTCATGACTAGCAGGGGTTGCTAATTACAGCTATATTTGTCTTTTGGGCATATTCGTTAATAGCTGGCAAGAATATACACATAAGCTGACAGGAAAGGGAAGACTATTCTCCCAGTGGCAACCACAGAAAGAAATGCTAGAGACTCCTTGTCTCAGCTACTCTCCCACAGAATGCAAGGTGGAAATTTGGGGAACAGGAAAAGAGATGACTGGGAACCTATTGCTCAAATATTTCTCCTCTCAGACAAAAACGCTTTGCATACAGTCCCTGTGGTTTCTCACCAAGAACTGGTAGATACAAATAAATAAATAAATAAATAAATCAATCAATCAACAGGAAGAAAATGCTTAGTTCATGCTGTCTAAAAGAGGAAAAGCAACATTCATTGCAGTTAACCTTTAAATCTCACAATTTACTTAATTTATAAGGTAGCACTGCCATGATATTTAGACGATCCATGAGTATAGTCGGAGTAAATATGTGAAATGTGCAAACAATGAGGTTACTACAGCTAGTGGTCTAAGCTAAACCTCACAGCTTTTGATGGATGACCTTAGACATTTTTTTAATTCCCTAGCTTCAGTAAGTAATACAGTGCAAAAATAATTTGCTGTCATAGACTTTTTTGTTCTTTAAAATACAGTTGAAAAGAGAAGGAAAACAAACACATGGATTGAAGTATAGAAGTATGTTTCTTAATGTTGTTAAGAGAGGTGAGGGCTTTTTGGTGTCTCTATATTTCTTTAGTTTCATCACTGACATAGATATACTTCAAGGACATAAAACTTAATCTCGTGAGAGGGAAAGGCACAAACACCATCTTAAACAACTTTGCCAATTCTGATATTTCTATATGCACCTCTTTTCTGGGGTTTCCTAAGCAGTTTGGTTATCAGGCCTGTGGCTATGAATGTAATACCTAAGTAGCTGGGAAATCTGAACTGATCATAAATCCAAGATCTCTATAAAAACAGCAGAATGTGAGACAAATGCTTTCACACAAATAAAGGTAGGCATGTTGTATGTACTTCACAAGGACCAGCAGCAAATCCAGCACTTGTCCTGAGTTTCTAGGTTTTATGGGAGGAACCTCCCAAACCACCTTTTCCAAAGATTACCACAGTTTTTTGCATGAGCTCAGTAGATAATCTCTGTATGCTCCCGATGCTGCTAAATCCTTCTTAATTGAGATAAGCATATAATCCTCACTGCAGGGCCTCACAGGCTTCAGAGTTCAGCAGCAGAGCTCAGTCTAGCTCCAGACTTGTGAAAAAAGAGACAGTTTGAGTTTTACTTTCAGGAGGCAAAAAGGTTCTCTGAGCCCATCACTGAATGACAATGATGGCACTGCAAGCTTGGGGACAGAATAAACTTAGAGAACTATAAGTAAGTAAAACCACAGAAATTATGGAAAAAACCTATTTCATAATCCTGATTATAGTTTGTATTGTTGTGAAAAAGTACTGCATGGAGCATTATTACACTTGTAGGACAACACCAACTACACTGTTTCCCACTGTTTCTTTATCACTTTGACCTTGCAAATACCTTAAGAATTACCTTACAGAGATGTCAAAAGTGCTAAAATGATACAACTCCATTTTTCCATTTCACCTGAAACATCAAAACAAAGTGAGAACAGCTCAAGCTACACATAATACTTTCATTGCCCCTGTGATCTGGCAACTCTCTCAGAGAAATAACTGATTGGGCACAGAAACAAGACTTTTTCCAGTGGGAACTGCATTAACAAGAGGAGACATTAAAGATTTTTTAATTTATTAATGGGGGCAAGATGTGCTGAGGACCTGGGGACAGTCAAGCTTCTTACAGACCCATTTATTTGGAAACTACGTCTGGAAGTCTGTATTTGAACCTGCTTTCTCACCTTACATAAAGACACGTGTTGGCTCTCATGTAGGTGGGCCATCAGCTTTCCGAAAAGGTCTTCAGGGAAAAAAAAAAAAGACTACCATGCAGGAACAAATCAAAAGCAGCAAAGAAGGGAAGGCTGTTTTCAATACACTTTGCATGGCTGGCATACATTTCTATGGAAAGGGGGCACTAACAAGGCACAGGGCCCAAATAATTCCTTCTGGTTTGCTTGCTTACATTTATGTATTCAGAGGGCTCAGGCTTTTCTTTTAAGAAACATTGGCAATGGTGGGGGTGGTAGCAGCATGCTGGAGATATGTTAGGGCTGTGCCCCAT